TTTCTTTGCCAGAATGGGCAGTGCTTTCACCAGACTTTGTAAATTTTATGTCTGAATATTGGTCGAAGTGGGCTTCGTCCAGATATCTGTTTCAGAGTACGGCTGCCTGGTTGGTCGGGGGCCTCAGGACGGTGTTGGCAAGAGGTAAAATGCTCCAAAAGATGTTGACAGCCCTCAGACGGTCAGAGCTGACTGCGATACACGCGGAGATGGCCGACATTATAGCTAGAGCCTCTACGGAGCCAGTGAATGAACAAGATTTGATGAGAGCCTTGGATGAGCTCAGACAACGAGTGACATTAGTGACATTACCGGCGCTTAGAGAATCAGCAAATCGGGAAAAAATCTCATGGTTGATTAGAGGAGACAGAATGGACGCGGCCTTTTTTCGGGGCCGTACGCGGAAAAACTCTTCTTCCCTCATGCTCTCCATGCGTCATCCATGGGATGCTGATCAGTCAGTGGCAATGGACACGGCTGCCATTGTGCAAAACGTGGCCTTATTTTATGAACACCTGCTGGCGTCACAGGCACAACATACGGAACAACAGGTGCTGCACGACTTTGCGGACACAGTGTGGGCAGCGATTGGACCGAATTTGTCCCTGTCTCAGGTGCAGAAGCTGGATCGGCAGATAGAAATGGAAGAGGTACGACAGACATTAACATCCTTGTCGCCACATAAAGTCCCTGGTCAGGATGGCCTGCCCCTTCTGTTTTTTACGAAGCATCAGATGCGCTTGCTGCCAGAGCTCACTACGGTACTGCAGTCTATTTTCGACGGGGCGACTCCGCCGGTTGAAATGGTCACAGGAATGGTGTCATTTATCTACAAGAAAGGAGACAGAGCAGATGTCAGAAACTGGAGACCGATAACGTTGATGCCAGTCATGTATAAGCTTCTCTCTAAAATTCACGCTCACAGAATGCAACCGGTGCTACCTTCGCTGATACATGCATCCCAGACCGGTTTCCTAAAAGATAGGCAAATTTTGTTTAATATTATGACAGTTGAACAGATTATGGAACTGGTCTCTGCTGGCGAGTCTGACACAGCGATACTGCTGATCGACTTAGAAAAGGCATATGATAGAGTCGGGTGGGAATTCCTCCAAGCAGCAATGACATTTTTTGGTTTTGGGGAGCGATTTAGACACGCAGTGCGCGCATTGCATACAGGGGCCACCTCTAGACTAACGACTAATGGGAAGCTTTCAGCCCCCATTCATTTGGGCCGCTCAGTGCGACAGGGATGTCCAGTGACACCTATTTGTACCTCATTTATGTAGAAGTGATGCATGCAATGATCAGAGCCGACCCGCAAGTGCCAGGATTCCCGATGCCATCAGGCGACTCTATTAAAACAGAATCCTTTGCAGATGACTCAGTCGCATTCATACCGGTCCAAGACGAAGCATTCCAAGCACTGAAGATCACGATCTCCCTTTTCTGTCAAGTCTCACAGGCAAGGGTGAACTGGGAAAAATCATCTCTGCTGATCCCGCCACAAGCCCTGCCACCACAAAATTGGGGTCTACAAATAGTCACGCCAGCACAGCACGAGCGATTACTGGGCCATCGCGTTTCTTTCATGCCACAGTTGATGACAGAAGCATCGACTGCAGTAGACTGGGTGAAGAAAGCACTCGGCCCATGGGTGAGGCAGAAAGGAGTTAGTTTGTTCGGTCGGTCGTTGGTTTTGAACAACGCAGTGTTTTCGACAATCTGGTATCAAAGAGCGGTACACCAACTCGACGACCCGGCTCAGCGACTCATTAAAACTCTTGCTACCCACTACCTTTGGAAAGAGGACATTTCCACAACCGCTTTTCTGCCAAAGGTGGCTTGGGAAGTAGTGACACAACCAAAAAGAGCAGGAGGACTGACAATCTTGGATCGGGCCAGCCAAATCACGGCGTTGTTATCTAGATGGGTTCCTTGGGCCATCTTGCAAGGACCATTTGTGCCTTGGTGACAACTGGCGGAGTATACACTGTGCACATCCTGGGACTGGACTCATATGCGGTGTCTCTGGATAGCAATACAAAACCCGACTTACTTGAGAAAGCATCTGCCACAAGGAATTTGGGCGGGAATAGTGAAGGCATGGAATAGATGTAAGCCTTCGCTGTTACCCCCCCCCATGACGGCAGACAGAATTCTGACTCAACCGTTGTTTGATAACCCATCGATTCTCACTCACGCAGGGGTCCCCTTCCCTTGCTTAGGCAGAGGGGGCTTTTGGGGATTCTTGGATGGCTAGAGGACTGGGAACATTGCAAGATATTTGGGATGTTCACGAGAAGGACTGGAAACCGTTTAAAGCACTTGCACATACTTTGACTGGGTTGTGGCACCAGAGAGAACACCTCGCCCTTCTTCAGCAGGCGACACCGGAGCGCTGGACCCAGTGCCTCAGGAATGGCCTCGCTCCGTACCCAGGATGTTGGTACAAGAAAACAGACGGCCACAGTCCGATAAACTTGTGGAAAATCGAACATGTGCACGCCACACACATGGAAGCAACGACATGGGAAACACAACAAGCAATGCATTCTGTGGGCCCCCCGTTAGTGGAAGCTCAACAATCTCTGCCGCTCCTGCAGTTGTCAGACCTCACACCGGTCTGTGTATTGGATTATTCAGATTACGTGCGCCCTTTCGCCTTGGCAGTGCCTTCTTACCAGTTACCGCTGGACCCCAGAGACTGGGGATGGCCAACTGAGACAAGGCAGCACAAGACTGTTCCGCTGTATCAATACACGACGAAGCTTGGGTACAACTGCGATTTCGTTAAAACGTTCATTTTTTATTTTTTGCGCGAAATTGAAAGTCCATTTTTTTTCGATTTGTTTATGTATTTTATGCAGTGTTTTATGCGTATAGGGGGTAAAGGGGTAAGGGGTAAGGGGTAAGGGGTAATATGGGTAAGGGGTAAGGGGTACGAGGTCATATGAAGTAACACATGAATGATATTCAATCGGGCATATCGCGTTGTTGCTTTGTTAAATACATTCGGACATTTTCATGCGTGTCTATCCAGCAGAGCCAATGATCTCCTTACATTTGCAAAAAAATAAACAAATGTTTTGCTTTCATAATGTCGTCTATCAAATGTCATTTGTTGCACAAGTAACTCCTATTTCGGTGTGACAAGTACATCTAAAGCGATCCGTCCCCTTATATTGTGGATGTCGTCGAAAGAGAAGTTGAATAGCGGGAGAATCCTCTTGCCAACAGTGACGCATATGTTAGCATAAAGACACCGCATTTGTTAATGCCGCGCTGTCTAGGAATGGCTGGCACATTCCATATATGGTTGAAATCTTTTGTATCCACCACCTTTCCCTGTTCAACCGATCTTTCGAACAAGAATCTTGCGAAACCACCTGTCAGTTTCCTTGCAAATTCTTTGTCAGGAGTAAGCGAGTCGTAGTACTCCATTTTTTGGCGCCTTAGGTCAGCTATTACTAGTGTCCAATGGTTGGAATTCCGGACATGGAATGAAGCTATTATTAAGTCCACGTCACCCACATCGATATCTGTCATCCACTTCTGCACTGCGCTGTATTGGTATTGCATGTCGTCGTCGAACAATTTCGCGAAGAAGAAGGAACTAAAAATTGTTGTTATCGGGATGCGCCCTTTTCCTTCTACTACTGTTCCGTCTTGTCCACTATCACACTCGCGATGGCTTATGCGACACATGTTGTCAAGCCTTACGAGGTTCAAATAAAAGTTAATTGTTTCGTTGTTTAACCAATTGCCTTGATACAGTATCAAGCTCAAATCATGCCCGGTTAGTGTTAGTTCTTCTTTTGTTGGCCCGTTGTACGTGGGTGTCCAGACCGTCCGATTCTCCGCTTGCACTGAATCTCGTAAATGTGGCACTGCAGCCGTCTCCTTCTCTGATAACTTATCCGTTGCTAAGTGGATCGTCCATCCCTGTTTGCATCTTCGTACTTCTTCTATGTTCCTCCTTTCTGCACATGACAATGCATTATGCCGCAGCGTAAGCTATCGTGATCGGGGCCTGCCATATTTGCATGCTCGAAACGGCGGAGAAAAATTCAATTGCTAAATCTTGGTAACAAGATACTATAGCGAGTTGACATGAACACCCCGACCTCCATCTTCCTCGTAATATGGCGCATAACACAACTACAATTCTTGCCCAATTTTCGTGTACTTTTTTAAAGCAAATAGATCAATGATACTTTTCGCGATCTGTGGTGGTTAACGGTAACCCTGCTTCCATCAGTTCTCTGATGTTCATGTTCAGTACTCTGGGCAGTATTTAGAATATAAGTTCACTATTCCAACCTTGCTGTTTCACATATTTTCGTGTTTTTTTTTTCTTCATTTTGTTACTATGATTTCCTGTTTTTAACTTCGTGGGGATTTAGGTTAAGATGACCATTCGAAACGCCCTAGAAGATGGCATAACAAGTTCTCTGAAATTAGAGGTGTTGTTGACACATGACAGGCAAAGTGCCCCATATAGTGTGTTTTCATATGCCTTTATTATAAAACCGTACCAAGCACGCACATACAATTTAATCCACACACACAACCTAACGCTGGTGACGAGTCGACCTCTGCCTACTCACACAGATGCATAAACACTCTCACACACACACACACACACACACACACACACACACACACACACACACACACACANCACACACACACACACACACACACACACACACACACACACACACACACACACACACACGCACACACACATACGTATCGAGATGGGAAACCCTCTATTATCGGCACTACAGTTTCGAGAATTGCAGTGTCACAATAACACTTCCATTAAGACAACAATATAACCCAAAACGCGTTTACACCCATTTCTGTCGAACATAGTTTTCTAACATAGTACCCAGCAGCAACCTATCAATTTAACAAGAAATGCGTAGACACCCCATGTGAGGACCGGTGAATATCGCATCATGATTTGTGGCGACACATCAATATAACCTGAAACGTGTAAACGCCCATGCCCGTCCAAGGCTTTCCTACGCATCAAACACWGTTTTCTTAATTACTGCTCTCATTGACCGTCTCGGTCGTTGCGCGTCCTCTTCGTCTTCACCTTCCACTCGTGGTGCAGCGTGGTCATCTTTCTGGTCGTTATCTTGGATCATATGCTCGCCCGTACTCTCTGATCTCATATCTATTACGGAAATGTGTTCGCGAGATCCCTCACCTTTCTTCGTCTCCTTTGTTGTTGCCGCCACCTGCTCTGGCGCCACCTTCACAGTCTGGCTTTCAACATCCTGGCCCGCATCGGTCTCCATCATTTCAGATAAGCCTTGCCTCGCCGCCACTGTCGCGACAAGAGACCCGAAAGATCCAATGATTGTTGCCCCATCGTCGACCCCACGCGTTGACGGCTCTGTCAATGTGCCCGACTCCATGTCGCCGCCGTCCTTGCGTATCATAGTGGAATCCCCCATTGCGCTTCTCTGTGTGCTTTGTTGAATACATGCTCGCAACTGTTCATTCTGTATGTGACCTGCGTTCACACGTGTGTCCGTTTCGCAGCCTGCATCCCCTCTGGCCATCCTGCGCGCGATGACGTCTTGAGTCTTCAGAGAGGTGATGCTATCGATTCCTTGCACTGCTGACGCTTGTTTGATTTTCCAATCGATGGAGCCGTACGACACACTTGATGCAAGGTCGTGGAACTTTGTGCTGAATTCTAGTTGTTTGTTCGCACGCAGTTGCTCAAACAAAGCTTTCGCCTTTGCCGCTACAGCCACCTCGGTTGCACCGACATTTTCTTGTGCAACCCGCCGAAAAAGTTGCGTCTCCGTCACGCTGTGCCATATCGCAGCGTCCTTTCTTTCCTTCGCGACCCACCTACGGTCTCTTGTCTTCACAGCCATTTGCCACTTGCCCGCAAACACGCACGGTTCGAACACGCCCTCATGCCAAAGAATATGATGACCCCAGTCCTCCTCCGATGACTCCTTGTACCTGTCTTGCAGCAAGTATGGCACTGAAGGGTCTTGAGCAAAGCCTTGAGGTAACGGTTTTCCTGGCACGAGCTTCGGCATGACTGCTGTCATATCCATGTCTTCATCTTCATCTGTGTCCATCGACGTGAGCGTTCGCTGCTCGGCCTGCGGTGCATGTGTCGATGATGGTCCAGCTGTCGGCGGGGTCATTTCACACCCATTCTCTCCTCCCCCTGTGTTGCCCCGTGAGTTAACAATTCCCTCACTCGCNTGTCGATGATGGTCCAGCTGTCGGCGGGGTCATTTCACACCCATTCTCTCCTCCCCCTGTGTTGCCCCGTGAGTTAACAATTCCCTCACTCGCACCCACCGGGTTTGTTGGTACACCATTCTTTTCTCCCCTTGCATTCATTCTATGTTCCACGTCTCCCTCACTAGCATGTGTCGCTCCCAAACTCGACCTCGCCTTCTCCGCTTCTGCGTTGGTGCTCCCTTGCGGTTCCTCGGCACGTGCTCCCTGCGCCAAACGTTGTGTCGCGTGTGACGGAACGTCCAGGTCAGAGTCTAAACGTGTCTTCGTCACAATCGATGTTGTTGAAGTTCCCCGCTTTACGTGCCAAGTCCGCATAGTCCCTGCATGACAGTGCTCTTTTCTTCATATTGAAATACAGATGCTCACAACGCGCTACGAACATGTGGAAAACACCCATGTGCGATCCGTGGTACTCGTTCATTTTTATCTCGAGTTCACTTTTCCTGATGACGTAGTCGTTATCAACCGCCGTCCGTGGAGCGTCACCGAACAAGTAAGCCCACACTTTCTCCCTCTTCCTGCCGAGCTTATAGTAAATGTCCCGGTCCTTGCGGTGCTCGACTTGGGGCTTTTCGAACCTGCATTTGTTCCTCGGATCCTTCACATAAAACTCCAAAAACTTGGAAAGGTATGTGAGCTCTTTTGTCGTGTCGTCACACCCAAACACGTGGTGTCCGGCGCGAGCGAGTTCCCAAATCAGTCCCGCATGCGCCCTGCCCAACAGCATCACGCCATCGTCCTCCCTGATGAACGAGCTGCACAGTTTTCGGAGACGTGCTGTCTCTCGTTCCATCCAAGAATAAACCGCGTCGGTGTCGCCCTCCACGCCGATACACTCCCCTGAGCACCTCACAAATTCACCCTCTTCAACGTTCAAATTTGTCAACTTGGCTCGCAATTTCGGCGCAACCGCTATATTGTCCAAATTGTCGTTCTCGGCGTGGAGGACAATAGCCATCATGTCACTGTACCGAATTGCAATATTGCTGTACTTGTTCAAGGTTGCCGAAGGTGTATAGTGTCTGTACCATGACCCTGTGAGCACCTCAACATCATCCCAGTTGTACATACTCTGCATCACCTGTTTCTGGTGTTTCATCGGCGCGAAAATGATCAAGGCCCAGTTTTCGCCACAACATGTCATGAGGAAAGCATACAGTTTGGAAGAGGTGTCATCATCCCACGGAACACATTTCGGTGATGTTGACATATCAAGAATGGTTGCCCATATTTTCATCCCCCTCGCCGTACCAACAACCTCCTCGTTGTCGGCGAGCACTCCCTTCGGTTCTATTTCAAATGGCAGGATCGTGGTAATCCTCTTCCCCACTTCCCAAAATATGTGACAAGCACTGGAGGATATCCGATTAACCTCCGCTCTCAGGTCGTCCAAGCAGTCGATTGCCTCGTAGATGAAACACTTGAGGTGGAACGGGGTTTCCTTGTGCATGCCTTGGGTTGCCTCTAGTCCCGCACCGTTTTCACCATTAATCTCATCAGGACCGCCCAAACGCCTCGGCACCTTCCTCGCCTTGTCGTCAGGGATGCGGTCGCGTTCCTCGGTTCATTTCTCATCCGTCAGGCCGTTTTTGCTGTACCTCTCCAAGATGGTCGTATAACCGATGAAAAAGTCAGCGCTTCACTCTTCTTTTGACCTCCCCTCTGCCTTGAACAATATGTAGTTGAACATACGGACCATATATCTTTCACGCCGAGTATATTTAACCAGGTCTGCCATGTTGCATCTACCACGAGGTACCGAACGTGATGTCACGATGACATCACCACGCATCATGTGGTGAAGCACCACTTGCTTCTCTCTCGCTGTCATATCGCCGAATAGCTTGAAGATTGTCGGCGTCAAGTCAGGTATAAACACCGTTGCGCCTTATGGCCCCTTCCTGACCTTGATGCAGTGGAACAGGACTTTTTTGCCGGAGTTGTCCTTGAGGAAGTATTGCCTAGGCAGCCTCCCTTCCACTTTCCCCGGCAGGTCGATGTATCTCACACCGTCGACTCGCGGCAATAGCCCCTTCTCGTACATGTCGAAGAATTTCTGTACTAGTGGCCATACTGTTTCGCCGCATTGCGCAAGATTCATGTATCCGCGCATCTTGTTCGTCCAGTCCTTGCAGTAGTCGTTCTCCAGGGACGAGTTCATGAGACCGGAATCAGGTGTCATTTTGCAGGAGGCGTTCATGAACTCTTCCCATTTCTTTTTCTATTTCATTCCCTCAACGTCATTCGGGGACAGGTCCCTGGCGGACGGATCCGGCCATTCCTCTTATCCCAAAATGTTCTAATTTGGCGCACAGATGACGAAAACGATATCGGGATCGAACGCTCCTCCCTCGTGTTGTCGAACGTCGAGACGTACGAATATCCTCTCTTTCTGTCATCGTCAAAGTAGATAACACGTATGTGAGAGTACGACCTCAAGCCATACACTTTCTCGGCCGGTGACTTGTCTTTAATGAGTCTGTTCATTGCCTCAGCCGTGTGCTGACCAGCAACAGCATACCAGTTGTATGTATGAGCCAGTTCGACGTCGAATTGGTCCGGTGTGATGCGTCTGCCTTGAGACCCGTCCGTGTTGGGCACAATGGGAGTCAGGATGAAAGTCATGAAATCCCACTTCCCATTGGTTTCCTTGGCCGCATGATGGATCGCATCATATATGGACTGCAAGAATGTTTCGACCAACGTTCTATGGTTGAAGAGGATGTCACCTTCAGGGATTGGCAAGATCTTCGTGACGTCCACTTCAATGTGTTCCCTTTTCTTCTTTGCAAACCCATCTTCATCGAACTCCAAGAAGAAGCACCGTGTTGTGTCGATGGCTTCATCACGGGTGTCCGCGGAAGGTTGTGTCTGTTCCGAGACATCTCTTGGAGGAACCCCTTCGGCATCCTCTCCAGAGTCACCCTCATCCACCATCTGCTTTCTTTTCGCTGGACGTTTCTCCGCTTTTGTCGCCCTTGTCGACGCGGACCCTTTTCGTTTCTTCAGGCTTTTAGCGACCGCCTCTTGAGAAGCTTTGAGCGCCTGTCGAGATGCAGCGACAGTGAGTTTCTTCGCAGCGCGCTTATCCGCCGCCGCCGTTGGACTTGTTGAAGATTGTCGCTTCCTTTTCTGGACACTGGCCTCCGACCGCTCTCCTGTTGCGTCGTCGACCCCCACATCAGCCGACCGCTCTTGCCGTCCATCGTCATCACCTACAGGATAGGCATGATCATTTTCTCCATCGCCCCCGTCGTCCTCCTCATAGTATTGTTGAGACTCCCGACCCTCGCAGTCGTGCATAGTTTCCTCACGATCCTCTCTCTCTCTCTCCCTCTCGTTGTTCTCCTCTTCGACGTCGTCCTCATCGACACCACATTCGTCATCGTCGATGGCATGATTACCCTGTGGATGTCGATCAACACATACCCTAGAATCGTCCTCCGTTTCCTCGTCCGATCCTTCACTTATCTCCCGCAGCGCCGCCTTCCTGGACGCACCACCTTCGTCCTTCTGGCAACTGGGAGAGGGACGAGTTGGCAGGGCCTTTCTTTTGTATGTGATGACAGGAGTGCCTTGGTCTTGCCGGCTGGATGGTTGAGACGGTCCAACACACTCCATCCGGTCGGACGAACCCACAGGAGGACCATGCTCATCCTCGCCTGGTGGACGACGCGGCTGACTCTGTTTGTTGCGGCGCCGGCCCCCACTCGTTGACGTCTGCTGCGTTGAAAAACTATGTGGCGTCCTCTGTCTCTCTATCCTTGCTACACCAGGAAGATCCTCGTCTGGCGTGTCAAAAGGCACGAATGTCGGGGACATACGATGGCCGGCCTCAACAGTGGGACTGCTTCCGGATCTTCTGTAGCCGTTCATTTTGGCGAGGAATTTAACGGGGCCAAGCATCGTCAACACACTCCCGTCTTCTTTCGGGGACACATCGAAGGCTTTCATGGTAATAGCCTTACCGCCATACCCCTTGAACAGATTGTAATCGAGGCTTACTTTACGGTCGGCCTTCGCATGGTCCACTCCTTGTTCGTCGAACACCGTCGTGAGAAAAAATCTCCTGAACTTCCGTCCGTGCCCGTCCACCCTCTCATCCTCGGATTTAATAATCCCTCCAACACAGAACCAGTTGTCACCCGAGGCGTTCTTCAGAAACACAGCGGCCCCACATCCCGCCTCGTGTAGCCCCCCCACCCAATCAAGGGCCCACTCCCTATCTCTATAAATTGTGCACGTGTTGTAGACTCTCTTTTCTGGGACAGCAGATGCTCCTCCTGATGGCAGGCACATTCCAAACGAAGGAACGGATCGCATTCAGATTTCAAACCTTCCACCATCGCCTCACGTGAGTCGTCGACGCATTCGAGCGTCGCATGGTATAATAGGGCGTTATGAAAACGCCCTACCCCGTCCGGTTCCGCGAAGCAAGGTCGAGGGGGCACGACGTTTCGAAAATGCCACACCCCGTCCGGTCATCGGAGACGAGAGGGAGCGGTGATAAAGCGATCTCGAAGCGCTGCACCCGTCGACCCTGTCCACCTACGGGGCCGGGCTACGGCGTTCTGGGAACGCCATGCGGCCCACCTCCCTATCCTCTCCGAGAACTGGAGGGGGCACGGCGTTTCGAGACCACCGTACCCCCGCTCCCACCCCCATCAAGAACTGGAGGGGGTACGACGTTTCCGAAATGCCGAACCCCCTGCACCCTGTTCACATACAGGGCGGAGGGGGCACGACGTTTCGAGAACGTCTTACCCCCGCTCCCACCCCCCACAGAGAAGCGGAAGGGGTACGGGGTTTTCGAAACGCCGCACCCCCTCGACCCTGCTCACATACAGGGGCGATGGGGTACGGCGTTTTGAAAACGCGGTTCCCCCTTCGGTTGCCGGGTGGGGGCGGGAATCGGGGTACGACGTTTCGAGAACGCCGCACCCCCGCTCCCACCCCCACCGAGAACCGGAGGGGGTACGGCGTTTTCGAAACGCCGTACCCCCTCCACCCTGTTCACGTTCAGGGCCGAGGGGGTACGGCGTTTTCAAAACGCCGCACCCCCATTGGTTGCCGGGAGGCGAAATGAGCGGGGGTACGGCATTTCGAGAACGCCGCACCCTCGTTCCCACCCCCACCGAGAACCGGAAGGGGGTACGGCGTTTTCGAAACGAAACGCCGTACCCCCTCGACCCTGTTCACGTATAGGGCCGAGGGGGCACGGCGTTTTCAAAACGCCGCACCCCCATCGGTTTCCGGGAGGCGAAAGGAGCGGGGGTACGGCGTTTCGAGAACGCCATACCCCCGCTCCCAACCCCCTCCGAAAACCGGAGGGGGTACAACGTTTTCAAAACGCCGTACCCCCTCGACCCTGTTCACATACAGGGCCGAGGGGGTAAGGCGTTTTGAAAACGCCGTACCCCCTTCGGTAGCCGGGAGGCGAAAGGAACGGGGGTACGGCGCTTCGAGAACGCCGTGGCCCCGCTCCCAACCCCCTCCGAAAACCGGAGGGGGTACGGCGTTTTGAAAACGCCGTACCCCCTTCGGTAGCCAGGACGCGAAAGGAGCGGGGGTATGGCGTTTCGAGAACGTCGTACCCCGCTCCCACCCACACCGCGAACCGGAGGTGGTACAGCATTTTCGAAACGCCGTACCCCCTCGACCCTGTTCCCATACAGGGCCGAGGGGGTACGGCGTTTTCAAAACGCCGTACCCCCTCCACCCTGTTCACATATAGGGCAGAGGGGGTACGGCGTTTTCAAAACGCCGTACCCCCTCGACCCTGTTCACATACAGGGCCGAGGGGGTACTGCGTTTCGAGAACGCCGTATTATCCCCCCCCCCCCCTCTCCCCCCCCCTTTTCACGGTTTCGCCATAAGTGAACCAGCGTTGCCCACCCCACCTCATGGTTTCGCCATGCGTGGAGCAGCTTTCCCCACCCTGTTCCATCAGTCCCCTACATCGCAAAGCCAT